TTCAAAGAAACCTCAGTGTAAATCAGTGTCAGGGTGAAACAAGCGTCCCTCAGTATCTCTGACACAAATCCTGCTATTGTTGCCCTCAAAGTGATTTTGTTTTAGCGTGTTTTATAAAAGCAAACACAGTGCTGTCCTCTCGCTATTAAAATGTTTCAAAACGCTATTGATAATCCTGTCTAGCGTGATGCCAGGCAATGAAGCTATAAAACTCAAGTGGACTATTTAGTTATGGAGATTAAACAGTTTGTCACGTACATCCTGCTGGCAGTTTGCCACAGGACAGAGTCTTCTGTTTTGTATTTTAAGAGTCACTGAGTGGAAATAAATGTAATGTGGTGGGTTTCTTGACACAAATACAGCTCAGGCGAACGGTAATGTGATTATTCTGATAAAAAAATAAATAAATCAGTCAGAGCAGTTCAGCCTGTCTGATCCTCAAACATGCTGAGTACAAATGGTTGTATCAGCAGATTTGAAAAAAAAATAGGCAAAAAAGAAAGTTAGCGAAACAGAAACACAAATAAAATTGTTCTGTTAGCTGTTCAGGGTGAGAAACCGAACAAGCCATGATGTGGAAATTTAACTCCGGGGTCCAATTTGTCATTGTGTGAAGGAAAACACATGCTGACCCTTGTTACTCAGTGCTATACTTGAAGTGGGTTTCAGTCAAATCTTAAGGGCCTTTCTGAGGCTTTGTTGACAGTTCAGACACTGAGAAGGAAAATGAAGCATTCTTATATAATCCTGTGATTATGCCAACCATGATCTCAGCGAACAACAATCAACCTCATAACCAGAAGTATGTGACCCATTCGCAGAAAACTCCACAGGACCATTATAATGGCTTGTGCTGCTTGTTTTCCAGCCACAGTCTCTGCTACCTCATGCTAAAAACAATCTTGTTAAAGTACTGCATGAGTCTGCACTACCTACTGGTGATGGGAATGTAACTAAAAGAGGAAGTGAGACAGAAGACCTGGGTGTGTTTTAGGGGGGAAAGGATGAAATGAAAATAGCTCGACACCTAAGGCAGACAAAGCCAGATGGTAATAGGTATGCTATATTTAAAGCTGCAGCTCTTGCCGTGCTGATTCATGATGGATGAAGGCTGAGGAGTGGAGGGAAAGCTGAATATGAAATCATCCATCATTTTCATGCATTAGACTCTGATGAGGATATGCTCAAAATCAGCTTTGGCCTCAGAAAGTCTATTTTGGCAGCACATCAGAGGCTCTGCGACTTCCTGAATGGGAGCAGCACTGAAGGCCAAAAGTCTGAGGGGAGAGTGTGTCTCTGATGCCCCTGGGAGAGGAAGTAAGGCACAGAAAATACAGAGCTGAGAGCCAGGCTGCTTCTCAGAAAGCCTGGGCATCCTGCCTCTCCCAGCCAGGGACCTCTGGACACGTTTCCACCAGCTGCCCTCAGAAAACAAACCAGGCACTGTGCAGAGCGCTCGTCTGTCTGCGCGCCGGTGGAATATGGCCGTGCTCCATCAACAGGTTGCTTACTTCTCAACATTAGAATTCATTTTGTGTGGACGTCCTCCAAGCAAATTCCGAAAGCAGGGTACAGTCGGGGTTTAACAACTTCAGACTGTTTACTGACGGAGCAACAGAATGGCTGTGTAGTGATGCGATGCAACACTGTGGCTAAGGCTGGGTGTTAAACCTCAATACGTTTTTTTGGTACCAACCGAAATGTGTCTGTAGCACAAGTTACTGAAAATTAAGATTTAAATATATTTGTGATTAACACATGAGAAGTTCGGCTTCTTTTGGTAGCTGCGAAATATGCTGCAATGTAATCACTTGGAGCATGTTTGCACCATCAATGTACATCCACTGAAGTGCTTGTATTTGCCACTGACAGGCTCAAATGATCCAACAGCAATATGAAAAGGATCCCTACAGAGATAGACCTTTTTCTTAAAGAGTTAGATCCTTTTTCTTTAACCAGAAACAGCCCTGAATTTGCTATCGTCAAAGCCACCAGCCATTTAAATAAACAGTAATTTCATCATCGTAAAACACACTTCATTAGAAGTCAACGGAAACAAAGTAAAACTTACAAAAGTCATATTGCTTCGTCTTCCCACTGTTCTAACAATCACCAACTGTGCTTAAATTCACCCATTATCTACTCACCCATATGCCGACGGAGGCTCAGGGGAAGTTTTAGAGTCCTCACATCACTTGCGGAGATCCAAGGGGAGAGGAGGTAGCAACACAACTCCACCTAATGGAGGCTGACGGCGCCCCAGATTCAAACGTCCAAAAACACATGATTGAAACCACAAAATATCTCCATACTGCTCGTCCGTAGTGATCCAAGTGCGTGTGTTTCAATTATGTGTTTTTGGACGTTTGAACACACATAATTGAAACCACAAAATATCTCCATACTGCTCGTCCGTAGTGATCCAAGTGTCCTGAAGCCCCGACATAAAAAGTTGTTTGGAAAAACATCATTTGAACTCTGTTTTTAGCCTCATTGTAGCCTGTAGCTCTAACTGCCTCTCTGGGCACCACGCTGACGTGTGCACGTGTGTTTTTCCAAACAACTTTTTATGTCGGGGCTTCAGGACACTTGGATCACTACAGACGAGCAGTATGGAGATATTTTGTGGTTTCAATTATGTGTTTTTGGACGTTTGAATCTGGGGCGCCGTCAGCCTCCATTAGGTGGAGTTGTGTTGCTACCTCCTCTCCCCTTGGATCTCCGCAAGTGATGTGAAGACTTCACCTGAGCCTCCCACGGCATATGGGTGAGTAGATAATGGCTGAATTTTCATTTTTGGGTGCACTATCCCTTAACTCACCCTGTTAGATGTGAAAACATGCTGGCTGCATACACTCTAAAATTACTGAAATTTTTTTTAATGGAGTGGCTGTGGCGATAGTGATTTCAGGGCTGTTTCTGGTTAAACAAAATGGATGTTCATCTTTAACAAAAAGGTCTATCTTTGTCGGGATCCTCTTCATAATGTTGTCAGACACTTGGAATAATAATCTGAGCCTGTCAGTGGCAAAAACAAGCACTTTTAGAGGACGTACATTGATGGTGCGAACATGCCCCAAGTCATTACATTGCAGCCTCTCACTAAATACTGGACCAATTTCAAAAATTGTTGTTCCCATGAGTCACTCAGACACAAACACCTAAAAATGAGGGTCCAGGTTGAAAAATGCAGAAGTTATCGGTCCTGTGAGTGTGCCCAGTTGTAGATTTTTGAATTTCCACTTCTCTGAGTATTTTAAGTACTCCTTGACCATGCTGGCTCAAATGTTGACGCTCCAGAGCAGTGAAGAAAGGGCCCTGTGGTGAGACCGCTCTGTCAACTGCTGTTTCCAAAGTCAAGAGTGAACTCTGAGTCTTGACTTTAAAGCCAACATGAACAGGAGGTCTTTAAAGTGCTCAGGAAAATGGAAACTGAAACATTTCCAATTCCATCTATTGAGGAAGACTGTGTGATAGGATCTAAAAGTCTAGAAAATGGAGCTACTAAATGGACTTCATGGGGAGACTGGTCTGTCAGCTAATGTTAACTGTATTTTAGGCCTGTGGGTCGCTTTAACTGTTTAATTCAAAGCTGCAGTAAAGGGTGTTGTAATGGACTGTTCGTCATTGTGAGGGGTTTCTGATGTTTTGTTTAATCCCTGTACTTGAGTGTCTCCACACTGTAAGTGGTTTCTCAGAAAAAATACAGAATGCATTTCTGAATGATTAATGGTGCGTCTTGGGTCTTATATAACTTTTTTAATGCACTTCTTTCACTATCAAAAAGAACAGATTAAGACTTTCGGAAGCTGTTAGTTTGGCAGCGCAATTTCCATGAGGTCAGGAAGGGGAACTAAATGCTTATTGAGTGTTTCACCATGAAGCAGAGCTTCCTGAGAGTCTGGCAGAGACACCAGAGGGAGGAGAGGATTTGGTAAGAGTGGGGCTCTGAATGGAAAGCAGAGCGGAGAGGATTTGACAGCAGGTTCTGACAGCGAGAGAACCACGACAGACGACTGTTACTGACAGCTGTCCTGCCGCGAGGGTCAGGCCCTCCAAACTCGCCCTGTGCCTTCAGTGTGAAGACAGAGAGGACAAAGAAAAGACATCCACACGGAGCTGCGAGCCCCTGTTGTTTATGTAGTTGAACAGTGGTGTAGGGATACAGGATGTTTACATCACGCTGAGGAGAAGCAGACAGCAGGTGTGGGACAGGTTTTTCGAATGCCATTCGCTAAAAATAATTTGAGGTCTAGTGAATTTGACAATGAACATGAGAGCATGTGCACAAGTAAGGAAGAAAGAAACTGCTGAGTCTAATCTCTGGAGAAACTAGGTTAAAGCTGCTGGATCTGTGATCATAGTGCACTATCTGTCCCTGTGCAGACCAGTGAGTCACAGTCACCTGTACGCAGTAAATAAACAAACACCTGAACTTTATCCTCCTGCTATGGCGTTGCATCCAGACAGACTGTGCACCTTTCCAAAGCAGCTGACTGTGAAAACCTGCAAAACTCTTCCTGCAGAGCTCATTCATTCAGGCCTCTGGTTAGTGTGGTTGTGAGGAAAACACAAATACTTCAGGCACTGGGAATTCATAATAAAAGCTGTTCATCATGTTTTACAGCTAATATCTGATGTGCCAAATTGTGAAGCGCACAGAGAAATATGCTGATGTACTGAAACTTGACAAATGAAATCATCTGCAGGCTGGTAAAAACTGCAATACAAGATCTGTCAGTGTGTTCTTATGGATATTATTTTGTAAACACATGAGATCATGACAGCTGTCTGCAGCACTGGTGAGTAAATTACCAAATGTGCATGCTACTGTGCATCTCTGCTATGATCTGATTAGTTTGTTTGTCTACTATGATGACATCAATGTACAGTTTAACGGCCTGGCAGTGCAGATCCTGCAGACACGAGCCTGCACCTTGAGGTTACACCAGTCACACTGTACTGCATGTTCCCACACACCACACAGCTCACACAGTTACCTTGATCTCTGCAGCTCTATCGCAGAGTTGGCTATCTGTCCGCCCTCCAGGCTGTAGTTCTGGGAGGTTTGCCTGGAGTAGGAGGCAGGAAGGATTCCCTGAGTGTACGTCTGCAGCCTCCCACGAGCCGACGCTGGGACCGCGGAGAACGGCGAGCTGAACGTCGAGGGCACGAAAGCGTCGCCCTCTGTGTCTGCACCCGCCGGGGCAGCCGCGGGACCCGTCCCAAAACTGGCCCGACTGCTGTTAAGGAGAGCCTGGTTTGCAAAAGCGAGCGCCTGGGCGGCCGTGGTCGCCGCCGCCGCCGCCGCAGCCGCAGCAGCTGCAGCTCCGGCGGCGCCAGCAGCTCCGTACGCCGAGCGCTCCGGAGAAACCAGGCTGTGTCTAGTCCTAGCTTCAAGCGACTCATCCTCCTCGTGCTGATTGTCTGCGTCGTCTTGCACGGGTCGTCCATCCAGAGAAATGTTGCTGAGAAAAGACAACGCCGCTTGCCTCCTCCTCGGGTCTATTCGTTTCCGCGTATGCTCGATACTGGAGTGCTTGATCTGTAGCGTGGCTGTGGATGTGTTGCTGCTCGTGGCAGCCGCCATGGTCCGCTTCCAGTGATCCGGGTCCCCGCAGCAGCGATCTTACCTCAGTGACATTAATATTGTGTTAATCGTGCTTGTGTTGGTGAATGGTAGTGGCCTGTCTTTTAAGTACATGCGTTTAACTGGGTGAAAACAGGCTGGTCACGTGTGTGCAGTATTGTGGCAGCACAGGGAAAATTTGGACCAATGGGCTGTCAGGAATACATGTGGGTTTTTTTCTTTTCCTGGCTGCTGATGCCTCCACTCGCGTCTCTGACTGGGTATGCCAACATTACATAAACTGAGCCCGGTGTGTCTCAAACAGTCTGACCTGCACTGTATCAGCCCCTAAACAATATTTCATGTTTTTTAATAACAATTTATAAAACATATCCCCGAGGAGACATGTTTTAGATAATGCTGAGGAAACTTTGCAGCCTTCTGCATGACTACATTTCACCTGAGCTGCGTGCTGCCTGCTCAGTGCGCACAGGGAGCAGCTGTGTGCACGGTGATCAATTGGCGCTGACACAATGAGCCTGGCTCTGTTTGTTTTCAGAAAATAGATCATTTTCTAAATTGTACAAGTCAGCATCTCTGCAGCAATTGCGCCATCTGTCTGCTTGATATGCATTGCCTATGTTGCCTTTTTTTTCTTCTTCTTCTGTTTTTTGCCATAACCCAGTTGAATGTGCCATCTAGTGGATTTTGGGTGACAACCACAGCAGCTCATGCACGGACACAGCAAATAGTGATCGGTTTGAGTAACGTTTCATGATTTATTGGTTATTAAATACCTTTCAGGTGCTTTCAGAGAGTCTTTAGGGAATGTTCCCTAAAGGTTATTAATTATTTAGTTTAATTCATTATTTTTATTTTTATTTTTAAATACTTTTAAATAACATATAGACAACCTTTAGAGATCATTCACTGAAGGTTCTCTCAAGTTTTTTTTTAAATCAACCACCAGGGAACACTCCCTGAATGCTATTATTATTATTATCATTATTATTTATTTTTTTTAAATATTTTTTTAAATACATTTAAATAATGTAGACAGCCTTCAGGGAACCACCAGGAAACATTCCCTGAATGTTATGTTATT